GCTTATGTGCTGCAAGAGCCTCCACCCTCCCCGAGCCCTGGCAGGGTCTGGGGAGCTCCGCACCAGCCCCGAACCCACTCCCCCCCAAGGCTCCTTACCCCTCCGACCCCACAGGACCCCAGCCAGCCTGCACAGAGGGAACCAGGGCCACAACATTGCCATGTTAGGAGGCAGCTGTGCTCCCCGGCACAGCCTGCACGGTTGAGCCCCGGCCAGGGGAGCAGATGTGGGAACTGGCTGTGCCCAGTTCTCAGGATGGAAATGGATTTTTCCTTCCCCACCCCCAAGCATCAATCACTTTTTCTGTTTGGTTTTAGCCAAACCAGAGAAAAAAGAAAAAAAAAAAACAAACCCACAAAACGCTTCATGTTGCAAGTAACATGAGCCGTGAGCCCCAGTCCCAAATTCGTGGCCAGCTCTGGCCAGGCTCCGTGCGCTGCACCACTGCCCTGCCCACAGCCCCGTGCCCTCCATGGGTTTTGGGGCCCCAGGGAACCCCAGAAGTGCTCGGCAAACCACACATTGCTCTGCTCGCCCCAGGACAAGCAACATGGGACATCACCTGCAGCTCTGGGACGTGCCCACAGAGCTGACTGTCTCTGGGTCTTGGCCACCCATTGCAGACCAGTTACAGGGATTATTGCACCTTGTTTTGCAGGGGCTACTGCTGGACTGGTGGGAAGGGACGCACCACTCAGTTTTCCCGCTAAAGAGGGACACTGCACAGCTCCCAGTTGATTCCCTGTCCTGTGCCGAGGCCAGCTGCTCCCCATGGAGAGCTCATCCAACCAGCTGCACACCGGCTGCGGCAGCCAAGAGCTGCATCTTGCCAGAGGACGTGTGCTCCCCGCAGAGCTGACCCACATCAACGGCCACGCGCTGCACAGTCCCCGCTGGCACCGAGGTCGGTGGCCCTGGGGCTGCTCTGTGGGGCAGAATGGCTCCAGGATCCCTCCAGCATCCTATGGGATCCACGGAGGGAAGCTGTGGGAAGCCAACACCGACATCAGCCAAAGGGACTCGTGGTGTGCCGGGTCCCAGCCTGAGCAGGCTGCAGCCTGGCCAGGACCCCAGCGAACGTGTCAGCCCGCGGAGGCAGGGCAGGTGGGACGCACCTGGGGCCGCACCCTCTCGGAGGGGCTGGGAGCGGAAAGGGTCCCTCTGCTGCCTGCAGCTGCTGTTGCTGGCCCCGGCTGCCATCCGCAGCCCTGCTCTGCACCAGCACAGCACCATCTGCCTCCAGTTTGGGATCAGCCCGTGGCCACGCAGGCACCACAGGAATCAAACAGCGGCTCTAACTCCCCTCATGTCCCATCCGCATGGCAAAGCGGTGAGATAGACCCGTCCTGCACCTCCTGCCTGCAGCGTGCAGCCCGCCGGGAGCTGCAAGCCGAGCTGTTACCTTTTCAAGTGCTCCAGCAGGAAGAGGAAGGTGATGAGGTTGGGGTCAGGCAGCGAGCGGAGAAGGTGCATCATGCAGTTCTCCTTGGCAGCAGGATCCGAGAGGGCTGGAGACAAGGAGGGAGAGGGCACAGGACAGGGGCTGGGGACATCTCGCGGACACCACA